ACGGCATTTTTCTTACCGTATATCCAGCCAATGGCGATACTTTGAAATAGCGCCACCCAGAGGAGAGCAGAACCACTGGCGGAGTAAGCATCAAATAGTTGAAAGACATACATACCACCCTAAACAGAACAAACACAAGCAGAAAACCGCCATTAGTAGTGGCGAACTTGTTTAGCGTCCGATCCTTATTAATGTAATAATTTCGAATTCTTGACAGAAATCTTGCGTCAGAGCCGCTTAATGGTGACAAGGTTTTGTCCACACTTTGTAGGCGTTTGCATTGCTCTGGATACCCCAATGCTGTTTATCCTATAAAAGGAAGACCTTTTCCTTGAGACCACTCTTCTACTACCAACGTCGCATGGGTTGAATTCCCGAAATCGTTTGTATGTTGCTCGCATTTGTTATTAGCTATATTCCTTTTTCCGCAAAAACGAACCTTTCAACGCATAACAAATTTCCAAAAATTTTTTAAGTACCCGAGTGTTAACTGAGTAAACAAATACAGTTACGAACTGAAATGTTATGAAGCACGAATCCGTTTCTGCAGGTATGTCAAGCTCATACTTACAGGTTCTATTTAATGGACTTAGCTCCAATTAACTGAACACTTTCTCCGGAAGATTTATCAGCATCAACTCTCGTAATCTGATGTCCTCGCTCGGTAAAAATGGTGTAACCTAATTCGATCGATACCCAATCGTGCGTTGTTGTCGGTTAAGAAAATACACCGTTGCAATGACCGTCGCTTGAGTTTTGGTTTCCCTTTGCAATTTGAGTGCCAAAGGACACGTAGGGTATGGGAGAAAAACAAGGAGGCATCAGTGGCGGATCCAGGGGAGAGGCCCGGGGGGCCCGCTCCCCCCCCCCCAGGTTTTGGTAGATTGTGCTAGCATAATTTTAAGCATAATTCAGCAAAACGAGCATCATTTTAAGCTTTTATTTCAGTTTAGCGCTGCTAGCATAATCCGAGCTTTTATGCGTTGAAAACAAAAAAAAACCATCATAGTTCTAGAATAATTTAGTTTGTATTTTATCTCTGTATTGTTTTTGGAAAACATTGAGGTCTGTGCTAAGGCCCATGGTCAAATATGGTAGGCGGCAGAGGTCATCCTGTGCATATCTGAGAGACTGAGACTCAGATCAAAGATGGCGTCGTCCTCGAGTACATCCACTTCCACCACTTCCACCACTTCCAGTGCCAGGGCCCTCGTCTGCAGCCACTGAACTAGTATCATCTATTCTTAACTCATCGTTCAACGATTCACAAGAGCATGCTCTCGTGGACTATTTAGAGGCTTGTGTAATGCTTCAGTACAATAACCAATAACACAGAGATTAACAACATGCATAGTTGTCTTTATACGTACTGAACTGAGGGCTTTGCCTGGATGGCGTGTAAAACAAGTATGCGGGCTATACCTTTCTGACCCGGATTCAGAATCTAGAAACGGTTGGTTTGGGTATCATTTGTTAATCATTTAGCTTTTCGAGGTGCGCACATGCGTATTTGCGATGCCAAAGACTGTAAGACTGGAAGGTGGACTGTTCCCGAAACCAAAAAATATCAACCAAAACCAAAGTAGGAACAATTCTGGACTGTATTAGTTTCCAAATAAGCTTTACAATCGTATACAGGCGACCATCCAAAATTGTACGAGCGAACAAAACTTAAGACAAAACCATGTGCTCACATCCGGGTTCTTACACTTAATCATTTCATTTAAGCGTCACTAAAATGTCTCATTTGAAAATTGAATAAACAGTGTCACGTCCATTTCCGGCTGTAACATGGACTATATGAATGTTCATTAAAGTCAAAATTGATAGAGTTAAGCTACTGATGAGCTTTATTTTCCTTAAAATCAGTGTAAAATCTAAGTAGCATAATTTCGGTGACAGAGAGCATAATTTTCAGAAAGTAGCATAATTTCTAAAAAATATGAGCACTGCTAAAAGCAAAATGCTTTTTTTTCGAGCACAATCTACCAAAGCCTACCCCCCCCCCCCCTTATTTTTAGACCAAACTGAGGCCCGAAGGGCCGATAAAAATTTTTTTTGAGACCGGGCCCCCCTTATCTCAGGGTCTAGATGACCGCCCCCACCCTCCCCCCCTTATCTGAAGGTCTGAATCCGCCAATGGGCATGATATTATTACTAGATTATTTTCCATTGTCGGTTCGCCTCTCGCTTTTAAAATATTTACTTTGGAAAAGATACTGCAATTACCAACGACCAACAAGCAAGGTGAACGCTTCACAAGTTGTGAAAACTTCGTTTTACCGGTTCCAGACCTTACCTGCCCACACCCCTGGCATTACCTCTTTTCTTTATAATCTGTGGTGATGTATGTAAAGTGAATAGCAAAAGTGTCCGGAAATGTAACCCAAAGTAAAATTCACTGCACAAGCGTGAGCATTGGTTTTATATTTGAGAGATCTTGAGACTCTTAGATCCCAAGAAGAGGAGGACCACGAGAACAAGATTACTCGAGCGCGCGTGAACCAGCGTCATTTTGGCGGGAAAACGTGATAGCCGACGTTTTAGTGGCGGAAAAAAGTTATTGGTTGTTAGATGTTCAACTTTTCTGGTGCAAAAAGCTTTCCGGGGTACCTGTATCTTGAGAATACCTTAGGTCAAATTTCGCTCTCGCAGTAGACGTCGTCATGCAATCTAAAGGTCTCTAATAATAATGCTTTACACTACTACATGAGAAATTTCAGCAATTTGATTGGCTTAGAGCAGTGGTATTTCACCTTAATTTAAAATACCTACATGTGAAAATTACAAACTTTCTGCGGGTAGTAGTATAAGCAAATAATAGCATGATTTGTACGTGATATTTGGCATAAATACCACTTGTGATATTTCAAAATTGTCTGAAACTTCACTCACTTAACGGCTCGTACGTATAACAGTTTTCAAATATCACTCGTCGTATTTCTGCGAAATATCACTACTAATCATGCTATTACCTATACTAATACAACGGTATTTATCAGACAACTTTAGAGGAATTACCTAATTAGGTAGAGGGGACGAGAGGATCACTCTGTTATCTATTGCAGTAATTGGGGATCGCGAGAACTTAGTTTTGTACATGTAAGTATCTTTCAGAAGTTCAGAAAGAAGAAATTAGACTTCACAAAAATCTCAAGTAATCTACTTTAAATATAAAGATAGTATTAGCCTCCACTTGAAAACACCAAGAATAAAGAAAATCCTACTTAAGAAAAGCTTACAAAGAACGTCATCTAAAAAATATGATGACCGATTAAATCTTCGTAGAACCAAAATTTAATAGTACAAGAGCTACTCACTTCAAGTACAAGGCCGATTCAGCCATTATTATAAGAGCCTTAAAAGTTGCCATTTGGGCGTTGTAAGACGTTCAAAAGTTCCCTTACTTTGGTCAACTTTCAGTTTTGCGCGTACGTGAAGAAAATGTCACGAACTTAAAAGATTAACACATAGAAACAAAAGACCCGTTTGGACTTGTTAAACTGAAGGTGAACCAACTCTTAAAAACATTCGAGTATTTAGTAAGAAGCTTTAAAAGTTACTAGCATGCAAAAAGAACACGGAAACAACATAAATTACTACAGTATGCATTACTTACAAATCAATCTCGTTATTCAAGGTTTGGCTAGCAAGCGACCATTAAACCTCTGCAAAGAGTAAGGGCTATAATTTTCGTTGGAAACAAAATTTAAATACACGCTGCTTGACGGTCACCTAGTTCAGTTTCTAAGTATGCATGTACGTGTATTCAAGATAACATACTAGGAAGGCTACCCAAAGAAAACATACAAGTTTAGGCTTGCCGTGCTAATGTTAGATCAAAATTATACTTTTGTACTTTAAAAAGACAAATGTGTAGAGCGATCTTTAAAATGACACGTACTTAAAACGTTATTTATAACAACTTGGTTAGAGAGAAAAAACAAAACAGAACACTTACAAAAAA